ACAAAATAATGTTTTATATAGGTGTTGGGTAGGCAGCTTCTAAAATGACCCCAGAGATTCTCACCTTCGGGCATCCACACCCTTGCCTTCCCCTTTGGTGTGGGCCAGATTTATAGCAGAAGTAAAGAGGTGTCTTTTTTCATATTGAGTTATATAAAAAATTGTGGCGCCCTGACCAGTGTGGCTCAGTTGGTTGAGCATCCTAAGGTCGCTGGTTGGATCCCCTGTCAGGGCACATGCCCAGGTTACGGGCTTGATCCCTGGTAGGGGTGAATGCTGAATGCAACTGATCAGTGTTTCTCTCTCACATCGATTTTTTTCCTCCTCTCCCCCTCTCCCTTTTTCTCTCTCTAAGAATCAATAAAAACATATTTTTTAGAATTGTGGCTTCCATACTGGAGACTCCATCTCTCTTACTCTTACTTGCATTCCTTACTCTGGTGAAGCTGCTGCCATGTCGTGAGCAGCTCCATGAAGACACCATGTGGTGAGGAACTGATGTCTCTAGACACCATTTAGTGCAGACCTAAGGACTGACTGCCAACAGTCACAAGGCTGAGCTTCAAAGTGGATCCTTACCCACTCAAGCCCTGAGATGACATAAGCTTCAGCTAACATAAGGGGAGTGCAGCCTTTTGAGAGAATCTGAGCCAGGTACACCCAGGTAAGTTACTCCTGGATTTGTGACCCACAGAAACCATGAGATGATAAATGCTTATTGTTTTTAGCTCCCAAGTTTTGAGGTAATTTTAATATTTTCTAAAGTATCATAATATTGGAATAGCCTCACCTTGGTGATGGTGTGGAAGGGAAAAAAGCACAATACTTCCCAGAGGACCTATGACTATATGATTCCCTCTCTCACCTCTTCCCCTACGTGTGCTCATATGGGGGTGGGGAGAGGAGGAGGGGTGAGCGTGGTAGGACCAGTCCTGCTGAGACAGGCCAGTAAGCCAGGATAAGTGGAATAGGGAAACTGAGAAGCAGAATAAACTGGCTGAACAATTTATAGCCAGATACAGAAGGTCACCTCCCTAGATATAACTTCTAGGCCTCAGTTGTATTTCAGCTCCAGGCCCAGAAAAGTAGCAAAACCAGGTACTCAGCTGCCAGGGCCAGCTGTAATGACTAATGAGCCCCTGCCCTGGCACTGACCAACCAGTAAAGACCACAACCCTGAAAGAGCACACCTGGAAAACTGATGAATATTCTTCTAAAACCCTCCCGAGACCTCTCCTATGAGATAGATAAAAACCCTCAAGACAAAAGATCCAGCACACACACTCCTGGGGAGCACAGCCGTGCCATTCTCTCCCTCCTCCTCTTCCCCCACTCCTTCCCCCGCAGGCGTGCATCTCCTAAACTCTAAGGGTCCTCGGGAGACTTGCAGCCAATGAGCAGTGGCAGCTTTTCCTGGACTAAACCCCTGGACCTGTTTCCAAGGCCCCCTTCTCTCTGACTTCGCAGTGAGCCAAAGCAGCCCAGCGTAGGCTCTCCTGCTGCTTCTTCTATGCTAAGCCCTTCCTTGTTTCACTGTCCTCAGCTTTAATAAATGTACCCTCATAGTCACCTGGACAAGTGTTGTGAAATCTTTCCTGTGCTGAGTCAAGAACCCACACACTACCAACTGCCCAGGCAGACCCATTCAGGGCCAGTGTCCAGTAACACTGCCACTTCTCTGTACACTCCTTCGGCAGGGCCTGTTAGTGCCCCAACCTTAGCAGGTGTCCTAAATCATTGTTAAATGTGAGGTTCTCAATGTCCTCTGTCCTCAATTTTGATCTCTATTGTCAATAACAGGAAACAGGATAAGGACCTGTCAACATTTGGGTCTAAGGCATTCATGACTTACCATGACCTGGTCTTTCTGCTTGGGTTTCCTTACTGCCCCTGCTTCCTTCCCTCTAACTGTTCTCTAGGAACACTGACCATTAGCAATTTTTGGAATGAGTTATGACATTCTTTTCTCCAAACCTTTGCACATAGTTGTCTCTCTGCTGGCAGTAACCGTCCTCTTCCTCTGTCCAGCAAATTCTTACTCATCCTTCATGAGTCACCTCAGCACTGCCTGCTCTGGGAAGCCTTCTTTAACTACTCTTGTCTCCTTGGCTACATCAGGTGCTTCTCCTGGGACACCCTACTCCTTTGCTTTCCTTTAGCCTTTACCAGGTTGTATTTATCACAGAGGCAGAAAGCTGCTCACCTACGTCAGGGGTGGGGAACGTCCGGCCTGAGGCCTTACACGGCCTGAGAAATCATTTGGTCTGGCCCTGTCAAGGCAACCAAAGGTGGGATTCAAAATTCAATAAGTCTAGGAGCTTTTTTCATGGCTAGTTTTTAAGTTGATAATTTTGTAGGGCCCGAGAATTATGTTATATATATCCAAATGGCCCTTGGCAGAAAAAAAAGGTTCCCCACCCCTGATAAGTTTCTCTCTCTTTCATAGTACACGGCTGTTGCTGGAAGGCAGCTGCCTGACCCACCCAGTTCCTGCCTTCCACCTCCTCTTGCATCAGGTGTGCAATATGACTAGCTCTTGCTAAAATAATATGAGCAGGAGTGACGTGTCACTTCCATACCAAGGCATTTAAGAAGAGGATGTGTCATCTCCACGAAGTTCTTCCTCTGCCACTAGCTGTATGTAGTCAATGGTGAGACCCTTGGGAATGGTGCTGCTACTAGGTGGAAAGAGTCTGGTACTCCAAGGCAATGTATGGATGAAAACCACCTGCTGCTCTTTTGTTTGAGATCTAATTGGAGGCCTGCTTGTTACAGCAGCCAGTGTTACTTTACCTAATACAGTATTGTAATGGTGATTTATTTTGTTTTTTGGCTTAAAAGCAACACGGATTTATTATCTTACAATTCTGTATGTAAGAAATTCCACTGAGTATTAGTGGATTAAATCAAGGTGTTGGCGGGGCTGCATTCCTTCTGAAGGCTCTAAAGGAGAATCTGTTTCCTCACTTACTCTGACTTCTAGTAGCCACCTGCATTCTTTGGCTCATGGACCCTTCTTCCATCTTCAATGCCAGAATTGTAGTATCTTCCTATCTCTCTTGTAATGGTGTTTTCACTCATATATTCTTTTTAAAAAATTTTTATCTTTATTGTTGAAAGTATTACAGATGTCTCCTTTTTTTGCCCCATTGACCCCTTCTATCCCACGACTCATATATTCTTACTAGACTGGTTTTGGATGAAAAGTGGGAGTTCTTTGTGTGAAAAATGAGGAGTAGAGGAGACAGAAGGGCAATGACTTTACCAGTCATTCAAGAAATATTCACTGAGTACCTATTATGTCTTAGGCACTGTTTCAGACATTGGAATTACAGCAGCAAACCAGATAGGCAAGGTTCCTACTCTCATGAAGCTAAATTCTAGGGGGAGAAACAAAGACAAGTAAGCAAATAATTACAGAGGATCATTTCTGAGAGATGTGGTATGGAGAAAATGTTACACTATAACAAGGTTATAGGATAAAAAAAAATAAGTAGGAAATAGCAAGACTCAAATGGTAAGTCCTGGACAGTGTGGCTCAGTTGGTTGGGTGTTGTCCCGTGCACTGAAAGGTTGTCAGTTAGATTCCCAGCACATGCCAGGGTTGCGGGCTTGATTCCTGGTATGGGCCGTGCAGGAGGCAGCCGATCAATGTTTCAATCTCACATAGACGTTTCTCTCTCTCTCCCTCTCCCTTACCCTCTCCCTAAAAATCAATTTAAAAATATTTTAAATAAGTGGTAAGGATCCAGCCACATAAAGATATTTGGAATGGGGGTAGGGGGAATGTCTGAGACAGAGGAATTAGGAGGGCAAAGGCAGGAACAAGTTAGACGTATTTGAGAACAGGAAGAAGGCCAGTGTGGTGAGAATGGATTGATCAGGGGAGAGAGTGAGACTAGATGGGGGCAGGATCACTAGCCATCCCAATTCCCTGCTTTCTTTTCCGTCCATCAAACTTATCACCATCTAATATACTATATTTTTTACTTATTTATATGGCATACTTTCTGTGTCTGCCATTAGAATGTAAGTACCATGAAGACAGGGATTTTTGTCTGTTTTGTTTACTGTTCTCTCTCCAGTGCTCAGAACAGTGCCTGCCACACAGTAACTGCTCAAGCCAGGTTTGTTGAATGAGTAAACAAATGATGGACAAGGCCAGATGATATATGGCCTTGCGGGCAATGGTAGGGCCATTTTAGACAAAGGGAATCAGAGGTGCACACAGGGAGGGGCATGTGTTGCTTAGGTAAAGGCAGGATGAACCACCCACAGCATTGTCAGAAAGGAATCAGAGGAGGGCTTCAATCCACACTGTGGAAAGAATGACTTAATGGAAGCAGGGCTCCCTGGTGCTTGTTAATCTGAAGTCTGAAACAGTCAGGTGCAGTGGTTTGATGAAGTAAAGCCAGGGGAGATGCCATCCATGTGAGAGAACATGGAAGAATCCACAGCTGCTGAGGGGACAGCAACCCCATTTTGCAGCCCATTAACTCAGTATGGCAGGGACAGCTCTGGGACTCAATCTCCTGTCTTCTGGGGTGACTGCCAAGACCTGTTGGCTCTGGTGTTACCACCTTGCCCTTCATAAGATCATCTGATCTCTTCATCCATTGCAGGCTGTCAGTGGGGTGGGAATTATCATCCTTGTTCCACAGAAAAGGAAACAGGCTGAGTTTTCATCGGGACTTTTGGATGTGACAAAAAACTAACTTGAACTGCCTTGTCTTAGCTTGGATCCCTAGAAAACAGCCTGAGATCAAGCTTACAATACTGCCACTTATATTGTGGAGTTCAGTACGTGGGCAGCAAGGGTGAAGGAAAAAGAGAAGCGAGAAAAGAACAAGGGGGAGAAGGGAAAACAAGTACAAGGTAGTGTGTTATATCACCTTAGGCACACTGTCTCAGCAAACATAGCTGGTTGGTCGGTGACACACAGGGCTGCTAGGTCAACTCAGGACGCCCAGCTCAATCTGAATACCAGACGAACACGCTGCTTTAGTATGAGTATTTTTACTTGCTAATTCTGACAAATTTAGATTCATAGGATGTCTCCACGAAGGCCATATGGAACAGTCCATTGGAGAAAGGTAAAGGCAGAAACTGCACCTCTCAGCTCCCTCCCCTACCACCGAATCCTGAGTTCCATTGGTCAGAGTTTGCCCATGGGGATGTTCACTCCCGACATTTCTGGCCTGTATTCCCGACTCTTCTGGGCAGTCTCTAGGAGAGCCAAAGCCTTTGTGGGTCCAGTCAGCTAGGGCCTGGGCCATGAAGCTGCTGCAGCTCCTGCTGAAACCAGCCTCCGGGCGTGGCTGTGAATTTCCATGAAGCATGTGGTAAAGTCAGACAGGTGGGGTGGAGATGAGGTGGAGGAAAATGGGGGAGGGAGGGAAGCTGGTGGATTCAAGTATCGTTGGATACAAGTTCCCCAAATTTTATCACTAAGACATATTCCTCACCATCTTTGTTTTCCTCTGTTTTGTCTTTAGCTTCACACTTGGCCCTCAAAGTGACAAAGAGTACCCCAGAAATTCTAGGCATGTGTTATTCTTTCTCCATAGAGAAAAAGTCTTTTCTTCCAATATATCTGTCTCCTTCTACCCCCCAAAAGACCTAGACTTGAGAGTTACTGGCCCTGATTGCCCTGGAGCTGGTCAAGTGCCTGTTCCTAAAAGGGTCACTGTGAACAGAGGCCTACAATGCAGCCTTGTGTGCAGAAAGGCTCTGGAAGGCAGCCCGTGGCTAGAGTTGTGGAAAGAGGAAGAGGAATCTACAGGGTTGTGTGGTTGTCTTTTCGTGGGTACCCCGCCAGCCACATGCACATAACTGGGACCTCTTGTAGCATAAAGACTGTGGTTTGTTTATCTCTGAGTCCCTAGGTTTGTCCTGGAAGCTGAGGACTGATCCCTCTTGAATGAATGAATGAACCTTTGTTTCCTTTACCAAATTCAGCAGAAAAATGCTTGAAGCCACCACCTGAGATTTATCTCTCACAGCAACTGACATATAACTTCAGTCATTTCCCTGCATGTGATGGAGCACTCCCAAATCACTTTCACATCTGATTTTTTCAATAACTCAGAGAATTTGGGTTATTAACACCATTGCAGAATGAGGAAATTGAGGTCCAGAGAGCTCGAGCAAGTTTCTTAATGACACAGGGACTCAGGCTGAGTGCTGGGGGTCAGGGGGAGTCCTAAGAAGGAAGGAGAGAGCGAGCAGGCAGGGAGGGACAGGGAGCCAGTGAATTCATAAAAGCTACCAAGAGAGGAGCCCTTGAGCAAAACCAGTCATGTTTCGATATCAAACCCCAGAGAACTTTATAAATCATGCAAAACCGTGTCAGAGAGAATAATTCCACATTTTCCTCTCCTGTGAATTGCTCAGTCATGGTGATGAGGTTTGCCAACGCCCAACAGGGTGCGGGGGACGTTGAGACAGATCAAAGCAGGCACTGGTCTTTGAGGAGCGCCCCAGTCTAGATGAAGAACAGATGAACAAACAGACACCACGCACGCAGCGCCATGGGCTGTGGCGGGGCCCACTGCGGGCACAGGGGAAGAGAGGCTGGCGTCCAGGAAAGGCACTGTGGTGCAAGTGACCTGTGAAGGGAGACACATCTCACATACACACGTTCTCTCTCTGCTTAAAACCTTCCAGGGCTTCTTATCACAGGTGGTGTGGTTCAGCGCTTGAGCGTCAACCTAGGATCCAGGAGATCGCGGTTCAATTCCCCGTCAGGGCACATGCCCGGGTTGCGGGCTCAGTCCCCGGTGGGGAAGGTGCAGGAGGCAGCCAATCAATGAGTCTCTCATCATTGATGTTTCTATCTCTCTCTCTCCCTCTCCCTTCCTTTCTCTGAAATCAATAAAGATATATATTTTTTAATTTTTAATATTTGATAGTTTATACAAACTTATGGTTAAAACTGAAAAGATAGGATAAAAGATATGCACCTGAGCCCTGGCCCATGTGGCTCAGTTGGTTGGGCATCGTCTGGTGCACCAAAAGTTTGCTTGTTCAATTCCCAGTCAGAGCACATGCCTGAGTTGCGGGCTCAGTCCCCAGCAGGGGGCATGAAGGAGGCTGCTGATCGAAGTTCCAATCCCACATCGATGTTTCTCTTTCTCCCTCTCTCTTCCTCTCTCTCTAAAAATGATCTTAAAAATTTAAAAATAAATCTAGCTCCCACCTCTACCCCATACATGGTAGATTTGTAGTGCATCAATTACTACATTTCCCAGAATTCTCTCCTCTATATGGATCTGTATCCATGTTAGTCATAAGAGATCTTTGCATGAGATTTGAAAGGCAAAAGTGAAACTGCAGTCATATTGTTTACACTCTGAAAATCATGCAGGGTGCCAGGCACTGGGGCACCTAGTGAATGGTGTCACTGGTCTGCTGATCTTTTTGCTTGAGGCAGCACCCAGATCCACATCTCTCCTCCAACCTCCATCAGACCTCCCCCTTCAGCCTCTCTGAATCCTGGCCATGCATATGTGCAGCTCTGTGGTGAAGGGCACCAGATTTTCCTGCAGGTCACCCATACAAAGGACTGAAGTTGGAGGTGATGAGAGACAGACATGGGCTCCAGTTGGTCCATGTGGGCTCTAGTTATCCTCATGGGGTCCAGTGTGTCATTGTTCTCATCTACATGCAGCTTTTCCTCCTGACTCCTGCTCCAGCTGACCTGCAGTGGCTGGTGTTGGGCTCAACACTGGGCACAGAAGCAACAGCCTGCATAGACTTTCTACCAACTCTGACAATTGTATGAGGTCTAATCCCTACCATTGCCCTAGCTGGTTTTGCTCAGTGGTTAGAGCATCGGCCTACGGACAAGAGGGTCCTGGGTTTGATTCTGGCCAAGGGCATGTACCTCGGTTGCAGACTCGATCCCCGGCTCCGGTCGAGGTGTGTGCAGAAGGCAACCAATCAGTGTGTCTCTCTCACATCTATGTTTGTCTCTCTCTTTTTCTCTTTCTCTCCCTTCTGAAAAGCAGTAGAAAAAATATCCTCGGGAGGATTTAAAAAAAAAAAAGAGTACCTGTACATGGTTTGGACTTCTCACAGCATGGAGGGTGGTTTCTGAGGAGGAGCTTCTCCTGCCTGGATGTTTCAAGAGTTCTGGGCAAAAGGTGTAAGGCTTCCTACAATCCAGCAGTGGAAATCACAGGTTATCACTTCTGCTATTGGTCAAACAAGTCAGTAAGGCCAACCCAAATTCAAGAGGAAGGGAAGTAGATTCCACATCTCAAAGAAGTAGCAAAGAATTTACTGCCATCTTTAATCTACCATAGTCCACCTCTGGACACAAATTATATTTCTCTCACATGCATAAATATACTCACCTCCTCCCAAAGATCCCAAAAGTTTCCTCCCAGTACGGCATTGGCTCATAAATGGATATTGTCATGTAAATCAGGTCCAGTTGCAATGAGGCTCTTCAGCTATGATTCCTCAAGAACAGCTTCTTGAGTACTACTGTTCCTCTTGATCAGAAGACCTGTGAGCTACAGACGTGTTATCTGCTCTCCATAGGCCCAAGAAACAGAGTTGACAAACATAAGATAACCAGAGCAGACACTTCTGTTCAAAAAGGGGAAACATAGGAATGATATAGCTACCATTACATCGTAGCAATTCTGAAATCTAGTTAGGTCCATATTGCCAGTTCTTTGGTTCAGGTCTAATCCTGCACCCCGGGAATGAGTCTCTGCAGCTGCTGAGTCCACCCTCTTGGTTCACGGGGGTTTTTTTTCTGAGTCCTTTCTTTTCCAAAAGAAATAGTCTACATTTGCATCTGAATAAGCTTCTCAGTAGGCTTCTTAGAAGACTGGGGGTTCACAAGTCTCTTTATTTTTCCCTTTTATTTTTGTGCTCTGCCTTATTTTGTGTTATCTAGTTGCTACTTTATCTTCAAACTTAGCATTTTTAATGGGTGCAGAATGGGGTGGAATTATCGTAATTCTTTGCCTTTGAGACTATTTCCAATTTCCATTCCCCTGAACACTCTGTAAATGGTACTAATTGAACAGCTAACGTGTCTCAGCACTGTTCTAGAAATCAAGGATATAGCTATGAATAAAAGAGACAAAAATTCCCACCCTTATGGAGCTGCCATTCTAATGGGGGAGATGGACAGTAAGCAAACAAGTAAGCAAAGTAAAGAAACGAAGACCCAGGGAGATAGCAAGTGGGGGTTTTGCACTTAGTGGTGATAGAAAGGGGAACTTCAGTTTTAAATAGGGAAGGCCATTCTCACTGAGAAGATGACATTTAAGACCCGAGTAAAGTGAGGGAGTGGCCATACAGATATCTGAGGGAAGAGTGTTCCAGACTGAAAGAAATACAATTACAAAGGCCTGAATTAGATGGGTGCCTTCTCTTTTCTTAAATTCAGTATAGTTTGAATAGACTGATCAGAGGAGACATTAAAAGGAGATGAGGTCAAAGAGGTATTTGGGAGGTCAGCTGGGGTAGGATCTTTTGCTTGTAAAACCTTTAGTTTTACTTTGATCTATGGGAAGATTTTGGGCAGGAGAATGACATGGTTTGACATTTTCACAGAATTACTCTGGCTGCTGTACTGAGAATTGGCAGGAGATTAGGTGAGGCAGGAAACCAAGGTTATTGCAATAATTCAGGTAAGAAATGATGGAGGTTCAGACCAAACAGTGGCAGAGATAGTAAGAAGTCACATTCTGGATATATATATATTTTTAAATATATCTTTATTGATTTCAGAGAGAGGAAAGGAGAGGGAGAGAGAGATGAAAACATCAATGATGATAGAGTCATTGATCGTCTGTCTCCTTCATGTCCCCGACTGGGGATTGAGCTCGCAACCTGGGCATGTGCCCTGACTGGGAATCAAACCCGGATCACCTGGATCCTAGGTGGATGCTTAACCGCTGAGCCACGCCTGGCGGGGCTGGATATCTTTTGAAAGCTTTGGATGAGGGGTACAAGAGATAGAGAAGGGAGTTAAATTTGTTTCCTGGGACTGCTGAAACACATCATTACAAACTTGGTGGCTTAAAACGACAGAAATATATCCTTTCAAATACATCTCAAATACAAAACTCCAAAATCAAAGTGCCTCCCCCTCCTTTGTTAGTGCCTCTTTCAGCTTCTGGAGGATGTCGGCATTCTTTGGTTTGTGGCTACTCATTCCAATCTCTGACTCCTCTTTGTGTTTGTACTCTGTGTGTCTCTTATAAGAACACCTGTCATTGGATTTAGGGCACACCTGGATAATCAGGTTACATCCATAGGTTACAGGATGTGTAAATATCTTTTGGGGGGTCACTATTGTGGATGAAAGGGGCCTCATGCTAACCTGACTAGCTCAGGGAAGGCCTGCATGGCAGCCTTGCAAACTCAGAGACCTAAAGTAACCCAAAGGATGGTCTGAAATTAAAACTTTTAAAACTAAAAGCAGTTTATGGTGGGTGGCATGTCCTAGGCCAGTATCTTCACTAACAAAGGTCAATCTTTACCTTAACTGAGACTGTCTATTGTCTTTTTGCATCTACGAGAACATATCATTGGAATGTCAAAGTAAATTTCCTTTTTCCAGACCCCTCTGGAAAAAGCACAGGTACTGCTCTACAGAGACCACAGATCCCTTCATTGTTATTGAGTTAATTGTTAACTGTTAACTATCCTGTACTCATCTATGTAAAAGAAGTACTGTCTATCATTTTACTTTTTATCCAATCCCAGAGGTTTCCCTGCTTTACTGTCTCCCGCCCCCCTAATCTATCACCAGTGGATTTCCTGTAACCCACATATGTCTCCTCTTTTGATTGTAATGCATAAAATTAGGTGCAAAAATGCCATTCTCTGGAGTATTATCTTAATCTGTTGAGATATTGCTTCCCGGCAATTGTAGACAATTTGGTTCAAATAAACTCACAAAAATTCTTCAGAGGTTTGAATGTTTCTTACATTGACACTATTCAACTCTCTACATGAGTCAAGAATAATTACAAAGTTTTTGGGTATTTTTTCCAGTTTTTTTTTAATCCTCACCTGAGGATATTTTTTCCATTGATTTTTAGAGAGAGTGGAAGGGAGGGAGGAGGGGGGAAGAGAGAAAGGGAAACATCAACGTGAAAGAGACACATCGACTGGTTGCCTCCTGCACCTGCAACCCAGGTACGTGCCCTTGACCCAGAATAGAACCCCGGACCCTTCAGTCCGCAACCAATACTCTAACCACTGAGACAAACTGGCCAGGGCAATTGCAGTACAAAGTTCTTGGACTGAGCAACTGAAAGAATGAAGTCTGCATGAACTAAGATAGGAAAAGACTATGAGAAGAGCATACTGTTGAAGATGAAGTTCTGAGTCGATCTTAATGTGCTCAGATGGGGTTGGCTGCTCCACGCTCCTAAGAGCTCTTGAAATCAAAAGCCCAGATATACCTTTTAAAAAAGAAATTTAGCACGCAGCCGGAGTGGCTCAGTTGGCTGAGTGTCATCCTGTGCACTAAAAGGTTGCCAGTTCAATTCCCAGTCAGGACACATATCTGGGTTTCAGACTCAATCCCCAGTCCAGGCACCTACAAAAGGCAACTGACTGATGTTTCTCTCTCACATCAATGTTTCTCTCTCTCTTTCTCTCCCTTCCTCTCTTTAAGCATGTCCTCAGGTAAAGATTAAAATAAATAAATTTAGAGAGTTTATTCATAAAATGATTTGCAAACCAGGAAATGTAGCGCTTGGTATGAACCAAGAATATGTTCCAAAATGGAGGGGATAGGGCAGGATATAAAGGTAAAGGTTGCAAGGAACTGCTGACCAAAGAGATGAGTTGCTAGAGGAAACAAGACCATAAACTTACATCATTTGTTTTCTGATTGGTGGGGGTAACTGGACTTTCAATGAATGGCTGACTTAGTGATGAAGCAAGAGGGGTTGTGAGGTGAGAACAATGGGTAATAGGTGATTAGGCATTTATCAAAGTCCTAGTTTCAGCCCAGGACTGTAGGACAAAAAGGCAGTGTTTGATCACACAATTATAGTACAGGGAGTATTATTATTATTTTAATTTATTGATTTTAGAGAGGGAGAGAGGAAAGGATAGAGAGAGAAAAACATCGATTTGTTGTTCCACTTATTTATGAATTCATTGGTTGATTCTTGTATGTGCCCTAATTGGAGATGGAACTCACAACCTTAGTGTATCAGGATGACGCTCTAACTAACTGAGCTACCCAGCCAGGGCCAATAGGGAGTATTATTTAACAACGATGATGCGAGGAATACAATTTATTAAACAGTACAATCATCACGGGGGTGGTGGGGGGTGGCGCTGCTGGCTCTGCAGGCTGTTTCAGAGCCCCAAAGGGCAAAGTTATACTCTTCAAGCAGTTTCTGAGCTCAAGCTGTAAAAATCCAAAGATTGGGCTAAAGATTATGAAATCAATGCTTTTATAAGTCCTCACTCTTCTGCGGGACGAACTGTTCTGTTAATGTCTAATTCACCTCTGCGTCTCTATCACCCTGCTAGCACTGGCGGAATCACAGTTTACTAGAAACATCACACACACTGGCATCAGTCATACTTGGTTCAACTCCCGGGACTGCCACTTACTGTGTGAGCTAGGTCAAGTGGCCTGTGCTGGGTTTCGGTTCCCTATTTGCAAAACGACGAAAATAATCTTTCTTCAAGTGGTTAAACTAAGGGCAAATGAAGACTATCCAAAGGTGCAGCAGGGCTGTAGAGTAGGTGCTCAGTACTGTAAACACGGACGCTCTTCCTCACCCTGCTGTAAGTTCGCGACATAGCTACCGTCTCGCCTCCCACTACTCACAGATTTCTCCCTGGCAAAGCCCTTCCTAGAGCAAACTTTGTTGATCCTGATCAGCTCTGGGCATACATGACCACTTGGTTGGCTGATCAGTGCCTTTGGAGGGAGGGACACTAATGGAAGGCCCAGTTTATCCTCGTACCCCCCCCCTTACCCCTCCCACTCATTATTCCGGCGTACCTAGAGGATGGCTGAAACGTCGGTTCTGGATTTAACATGGCGCGGTCCTTCTCTCCGCGGGAGCCTCAAAGATGGAAACAACCATCGGGAGCAGACATGTTTGTCTCACGTGACCCAGGCTCAGGCCCGAGGCTGCCAGAACGTGACGCAGGGCTGAGGCGGGGCTCCCTCCCCGCACCCTTGACGTAGAGCTCCTCGTGACAGGTACTTCCGCTCCGGGCGGCGGCGGTGGCGGAAGTGGGAGCCGGAGTCTTGGCCTTAAAGCCCAAGGCGGCGGCTGCATTGGTGCCGGGGTCTCGGAGAGCGCCGAATAGTCTGCTGGAATTGGAACTTGGACTTCTCTGTCCCTGTCCTCCCTTGCGTCTTCTCGGCGGGAGCCCTCGTGACACGCCCGGCTCGGAGCCCTCAGCGGAGCGGCCGAGGTAAGCAGCGGGCCCAGCCCGGCCGGCTGCCTGGCCCCATCCCCCTCTTTAGCCCCTCAGTCGCCAAGGCCTCGCGTCATCCCTTTCTTGGGCAGGCTCTGGGTCTGGCGGGGGCTTGGCGGAGAATGGCCGCATTGCTCAGGCGCCAAGAGCCGGCCGGGCCTGGGAGAGGTCGGAGGTCGCCGGCTGTGACCTCTGGCAGGGTGGCCGACCCCGGGCCGGCGGTCACGGACACCTTATTTACTGGCGGCGTCAAGACCGGAGACCTGGGAAGGTTTCCTGACTTGGGTGGCCGCTGGGCACTCGGAGCCCTGTGCTGCGGCGGGACGCGCTAGCCGGTTGCGTTCCTTGGAGCGGCGAACTGGAGGCTGTCGGAGCCGATCCCCAGCTGCCGCGCCGGGGAACGCGACCCAGTCGCCGCCGTCCGCGCGGGCATTGGTCAAGTCACCCAGGTCTGAGCCACTTTCTCATCTGTCTCTTCAGTTGAACAGGTCCTGACTCTTTTAGTGTGAGAGGCTCCCTGACGACAGCTGAATAAAGGCGGTGAGTCAGGTCACATGCACTGGGCTAGCTTCAAACACTTGTATACATGTGACGCGCCTCTGGCTCCGGGAGGCAGGGAACTTTTTATCGTAAACATGTTACGGTTAATCCTGAAAGAAGTTGTCAGATTTACTAGGGGAAAGATGGTGGTTGGCTGTAGAGCTGTATTTGAATTACAACCGCGCATTGGCGGCCCTCTTGCTGCATAGTGGTTCCTAAAAGTGGGAAAATGGAGAATAATAATAGCAAACATTTGAGCACTTACAGTGTGCTGGGCAGCATGACAAGATCTTTGCACAAATTATCTTAATTCTCAAAACAGCCATTCTAAAGTACCATTATTGTGCCCATTTATAGATAGGGAAATCAAAGAACAGAGAGGTTAAGCCTTTTGTCTACAGTCACATAGCTAATAAGTTCTGGAGCAGAGATTCAAGCCCTGGCAGTCAGACTCCAGAGCACTGTACTCAGTCCATGGCTGTAGTGCTTTCAGATGACCCTGAAACTTGTGATTTATCTTTTGCCTGCCCCTCTCCCTCTCCCTCTGCCTCCTTTCTTTTCTAGTGCTGTCATTTGAAACGCTCCTTTGGTAATATTAGTTCTACCTTGAAACCATACAATATTCCGTCTTCGGTTGTGACTTTTGACATCTTTTTGTAGTGTAAGGCCAGTAAATTAGGAGCTCTAGAATTCTAGCAAAGTACTTAATTGAGTCTGAAAAATTTTTTTACCTCTGTCTTTTGTCAAATGAAGTAGGTCTGGCAATCCTGTCATGTCAACCTTTCTTAAAACTTTAGTGCATAGTGTCCAACCCGTAGGTTCTTTCTTCTTGAAAATGCTATATCTTTTCTTTGGATTCCAAAAGAATAGGCTCTTGTCACTTCCTTGTGACTTAAGCAGCTTATTAGCCGTATGACTTCTCATCCATGGAATAATAGTCTCCTATTAGTGTGTTTCTCTCTTCACACTTGGGAGAGTTTGTTCAGATTTGAGTCTTAAGACCTGGAGAATGAGTTACAAGTATTTTCTTTTTTTAAAAAAATTTATTCATTTTTAGAGAGAGAGAGAAACATTGATTTGTTGTTCCACTTATTTATGCATTCATTGGTTGATTTTCGTATGTGCCTTGACCTGGGATCCAACCTGCAACCTTGGCGTAAAGGGACAATGCTCTAACCAACTGAGCTACCCTGCCAGGGTTGAGTTGTGAGTACCGCTGAAGATACTGTCCAAACTCAAGCTTAGTACTGGAACACTGTTGTATTCTAATTTCTTTTTCTTTTCTTTTTTAAATTTTGCTACCCGGCCTAATATATTTAAAGTGAGTAAGAAGTATGGTAGCCTTAAGTAATATGGAAGTTTAGAGGCAAGTAATGATAAGTACCTTTTCATTTATTCATCAAATGTTTTGAGTATCTACCACGTATCAGGCATTGCTGGATATTGACTCAGGGAGACAGGCATTGTTCCTGTCCTCAAGGAATTTAAATGGTGAGTAATCATGGCCAAGCATTTTGAGGCATTTGGAAAGAGGAGTTGTTTCTTATCTCAGCAAGTGAATCCATAGTAATCCAGTGTGGTGTTTTGGCTAACTTGAAGGCTTTGTTAATTTGAACAGTGTTTGTGTGGTTTGCTCTTGAAGATAGTATGGAAGAGAATATTACAGTTTCTAATTGATCATGTTTTTTAAATAGTAACCTTCAAACAATAAACTTGTTTCTCCTTTTGTAGTGGGTGGGAGGGAGTTCATATCCTACCATTTAACACTGCAAATGCTAGCTGTTGCAGTGCTCTTTGAACAAAGGCACATTTGGCATGCTGGATTTTTTTTTTCTTCAGCTGATGAAGGAAGTTAAATGTAGTGCCTACCAGTCACTGTACCAGTGTCATCCTAAATAAAACCTATTCCACCTGCTGGCGTGGCTCAGTGAATTGAGCGTCGTCCCATGCACCAAGAGGTTGCTGGTTCGATTCCCGGTCAGGGCACCTGCCTAGGTTTCGGCCTTGATACCTGGGGGTGGGGGGGGCGTGTGCGGGAGGCAGCCGATTGATATTTCTCATCGATGTTTCTCTCTCTTCCTTCCTCTCTCTAAAATCAATAAAAATATACAAACAAAACCAAAAACATCTATGACACCCATCTCCCACAACTGATCTGGCTCCCTCTTCCTTAAAAGGGGATTTGAGTCCGGCCGGTACTGCTCAGTGGTTGAGCATTGGCCTGTGAACCAGGAGGTCACAGTTCAGTTCCTGGTCAGGGCACATGCCTGGGTTGTAGGGGGCATGCAGGAAGCAGCTGATCAATAACTCTCATCATCGACGTTTCTATCTCTCCCTCTCCCTTCCTCTCTCTGAAATCAATAAAGGCATATTTTTTTAAAATAATAAGAAAAAGAGTGGGATCTGAATTTGTATTTATGGAAGAACTGCATGAGTAAACAGGGTGGAATGTAGGAGAAGGCACTAAAAAAATAGTTTTTTTAGTATATCCCTCCAGGTAAATTGTTAGCAACAACTTGGGGCAATATTTTCATTTTATTTTTGCACCAACTGGGTATAAGCCCTCAAACCCTGTAATTAAAGAGCATTGCTTTATAGTAAAGTGTGTCCTTGAATTCAATTCCTGACCCCACAGCCAAACGTTTTGATTATTTGATTAGCTTTGAATAAATCTCTAAAGAGATCTGCACTAATAACATTTTTGCCTTAACATTTGATTTGATATTAGTCCTTCTGTGCAAAGATGTAGCAAACCCAGACCTGAAATCACACATGTGTCACAATCATCTTATGTACTGTTCCTCTCTGAGATTTGACATATTTATCATTATTCCTGTGTTAAGTTGTCTAAAGTTCCATCTGTGTAATTCAACACATATGGCTAAGAAAGATTTGACCAGATGTTGGACTGGTAGTTAGTGACAAGGTCTCCCAGGGAAGTAAGGAGAGGAGTCCTCCCTAAGTAAAACTAAAGAGTGGTTCCGGTTGGTACTGATGCTGTTCTCTAAAGGAGACTGAAGCTTTAGAAATTAACTGCTCCCTTCCACCCCATTTTGCAGCTACTGACTTTCTGCTAACTCTTATCTCCCATGTAACATTGCCATTGTATTCTCAGGCATCCATTCCTATGTGTTATCAAACACTTATCTATTAATGCCATCTAATAGATCTCAGTGCCTGTCCACGGTTTGCTACAGCAACATTCTGCAGTGTCTATATTTTCAGTTATTTACTCTCACATCTTCCCTCTGTTTTGTGCTTTTTCCTTCCCACATATGCATTAAACACAGAAAAATAGTTTACATTTATGTCTTAAAACTTCTTCATGATGATTGTGGTAAAAGTGATGTGAGTGAAATCAGAACAGGCTTTTTAGCAGTGTTTCCGACTAGTTTCAATTTTAGTACTACAGTCTGTGATTTCAAAATCAAATTAAGAATAACTACTAGCAAAATGTCTTTTGGGGGAAGGAAGAGAGCTTGGGTGTGGGTCCAGTGGTGACATACTGTATTGACCTTGTTCATTTGCCTGAAGATGCAGTGCTTAATACAGGGGACCTCAAGCCTTGTCTATGGCTCTGTTTAGGTGATGTCATCACTGCCATGGGTATCCGTCTGACTGATTCTGTTGTCCATTTCCTGGTCACCTAGGACTGCTTTGTGTCAGTACAGAACAGATCTTAGGAAGCATATTAAGGGAGGCCTCGGCACTTGGCCAGTGTTAGGAATTCTGTAACCTTGCTTGGCTCTCTAATGCACTTGTGTGACTACTGCCAGGTACAGTGAAGGAGCAGCTCTGTTTTCCCCTACTCTTTCAAGTAAAGATACCTTGCTTCTTACTCCTGGCTTTCCTGGAGTTATCCAGCTCAGTTTGGAATCCTTTAAAAATTACATTGTGGTACATTTGAAACTAATACAGAATAATGAATGTGAAGTATAATTGAAAAAATTTTTAAATTTTTAATAATTGCATTGTAAATAAATAGTTACATCATTGGTCTCCAGTCTTTGTATGCAATTTTAATTTAAAAGTTTTATTTCCATTTGAGTTATTTGAGAATACATGGCAAAGCTACTATGAATTAATCTTTAAAAACTCAATTGTAGCAACGTAGACTGTATGAAAAATAGTACCTATTACATATGATATTTAATCAGTCTACTAACAGTTCTCTGTGCACCTACAGATCTGGGGATCCCTGAAATAACTGGGTCATCTGAGCAGCCCACAGGTTAAATGCTGCTCTTAAATCCCCTGACCTGTGCCATTCAGTTGATGGTTGTTAAAGAGCATTAATGTTTTGTAGAAATCTTCCTACACAGTATTTATCTTTAAATGCTTTTTAATATTTGTGTAGTGCTTACAGTTTGCATAGGATTTCATTTAATGTTTACAGCAACTGTGTAGGCTTAGATGGTAGCCATTTCTGTATTTCTGCCTGAGGTAGCTAAGGCTGGGTGCTCAGGTGGCCCAACTACCCAGAATGCTAATCTAGGTCCGTTGAAACATAGCTCATTGTTCTTCCTGAAGCACCATCCTGCCTTTTTTATTATACATGATTGCCATAAAGGCCTCAGCATTTGACTGCTTCTAAAAAAAAATGTATCTTTCTCCCACTAATTTTATTTAAATGACATTTCTCTTTTGCTGATTATTAAATCTGTCAGTTCTTGGGAGGGGGTTGGAAGCTAGGAAAATACATAAGTAAAAAGAAGAAAAAATTAAATTCACTACCTAGAGGAAGACCAAGGTATTAACTGATTATTTTCTTCCTATGAATGTATACCTTAATACTTTCCTTTAATGAAATTGAACAAAAAATATGGTGTGAGAAATTTAACTGGGAAGGAGACTGGACACTCTTGGATCCTTTGACGTGGGATTTCTAATAAACACTCAGAGATGAGAAGCTGGAAATTATCTCCTAGGGATCACGAGACTACCTGCATTTTTCAAATGTTTAATGGCAGTAGGTAAAGAACCTGATGCATCCTGTTCCA